AAATGATACAGAAGTACTACAAGTAAGGAAACTGGGTTTTAACCTAAGTCTTGAGTCAGAATTCAGATTCTAGATTCAGAATACTGCAGATTCTGAACTGTTTCTGAAAGAAATACCAAGTTCAAGGATACCTTTCTCTCTCCAATAGGTAAGCTACAAGAGTTTTTTGGCTGATCTGGGACTATATTATATAACACTGATTTCACCGGAAAATGCACCCAAGTTTCCAAGAAATGTCTTACTGCTTTTAACATGTAATCAATTCATAAACTGGAGTTTGACTGTAATAAAAATCTCTTCACAGGGATAACCACTACAACAAAGATATACATTTCAAACTGCACACAAAGTTTAAAAGTAAAACTAATGCAACGTTATTTTTTCTATCAAGAAGTATGTTCAATACCCAAGGTTTTCCAAATTTCAAAAAAAGTGGTAGTCATACTTTTCAAATAACATCTCTATAATTCAAAGTATTTGAATATTAAGTCTCCTGTATCCTAATTTTTTTATCCCATAAGAAATCTAATCTTTTGAATTTTAAGCTTTAAATATTTATAGGATAACTGAGCCAAATTCAGTTAGCATTTCATTCACCATACATGAGGGAAATCAATTTCTACAATTAAGCTAAAAAAAGTTTGGGTTATATTTGTTTCCCACTTACGTCAAATTAAATTTAAAATTAAACTGCCAAGTTGAAGTTCCTGGAGGGTATTCTCCTTGCTCATTCATAAATGTCAGTCCTAGCTGAATTATCTTTAACAAGTCTACATTACATCGCAATAGTTGGTACTGATAGTCAGCATTGCTCCTGAATTCTCCAATAGGTCTCGCAACCACACCTGGAAACTCGGTATCCTGTAAAATAGTTTTAAGATTCATTATTTACTAAATGGTCAAAACCACAATCCACAGATTGTTAGAATAAATCATTTTTGGTACAAGTCAAAGAATCCCATTCTAGAGAATATTCTATACATTCATATTCAATTACAAATTACCTTTTAACTATGAAAATTGTTACTTTTTAAAACCATAAAACTCTACATATTTAATGGCTTTTTTTAATATTAAATATCACATCCATAAAAAATTACTATGTATAAGATATGAATGCTAAACGCAACCAAGTACTCTATTCCCAAAGAAAGGGGAAAAACCATACATTCATGTTTTTCAAGGGGTATGTGAAACTATGCCCACAGAATGCTAGCATTAAAATCAATGAAGAACTGGTTAATAAAAATGGAAAATTCATCATACTCTCCAATTGTTTCTCTCAGACCAGGTTTGTCTAAGCACCAAAACCCTGTCACTTCTTGGGCTAAGACAGTACTCCGTCTTTATACTCTAGGGAAAGCATGTCATCAAAAACTGCATGATAGCCACTTATTCTTGTAGAATGTTATCATGTCTCTATTTTGTGGGACTTAAAAAAAAAAAACCATTTCTAATTATGGGTGAATACACCTTTATTAAATAGGTTATATGTGTTCACTCAAATATTTGTTTTTTTACCAGTCAACCTGCCCCTACACACACAAACGCATTTATTTGCATTAAAAATACTGAGAAGAGGATACTATCATACATCACTTTAGTTTTAAAACTCAAACTGAAAACCTAAGAAAAAATCTGAATATCAAGTCCCTAAGAAACAGTAAAGAAATTAAAACCTCTCTAAATTTAGTCCAACTCAACAACCACTTTACTGGACGCTATGTGTTATGCTGTGTGTGTCGTGAGGATGACTAAGAGAATAACCCATTGTTCACAGAACTTACAATCTAGAAAACAGTACAATAACTAACATATGGACAAGATACAGTAGTAAAGCAGCAAAACTAACTGAATAGATGATCTAGGTAGATTGAATAATAAATGCAAAAGCAGAGATGCTTAACAGCACAGTGTGTTCATGCAACTCCAATGATGATTCAAACAAGAACAAGAAAAAACCACAGGTCAATAATATTTCACTGGGAGATCTTTTTTTTTTTTTTTTTTTTTCAGAAAGACATGCAGGAGCTCCCAAGCTTTTGAGTGCGGTGCTCATCTGGTATTATCAGTTAGCCTTAGTGTTGCTAGGAGTTGAACTGGCACTCACACCTAGGTTCTACTGTTCTGCCGAATATAAACAGTTTCACACTTTAACACCAGACAAGACCACTCTGATCATGACTGAACACAGACAAAAACATAAACATTGTCCAAACCACAAAACTGATCAAACATTCTTCTACCTTGGCTAATATAAGTAACCGCTGCTTCTTTATAGCTTTAGTCTCACTCTAGTCTTCTCTCATCCTCGTTTGGCCTTATTAAGATACCCTGTCACAAAGTTATCCCAGCTTCCCAACAGCATCCAATTCAGAGCAAGGCCCTGCTTCCTTAATCCTTAAAACCACCTGACACAAGCCCACATCCTATAAGTCTTTTCTAACACTCTTACTCAAATGTCCCATGGTTCCAGTGGTATGCATTTTCCCTCACTGCAATGAGTAATAACCCAATTTGTCCCATTGCAGATGTGTTCCAGGTGATCTCTGGCTGGACGAAATTGACAAAATTTCTTTTTATAATTAAGTTAAGCCCTAAAAAAAAAAAATCAACCAGATGGGTTGAATTCAAGACTTTTCAAAACCCTCTTCCCCTCTTATAAGAAACATTTTAAGGATTTGATCATAGGCATACCATAGCAACATAATTGTATTTTCGGATAACTTGACGAATTTTCTTCATCTCTTCATCCAGGTTGCAAGCCCAAACTTCACAAATTCTTTGGCTATGATCTACAGTTGCTGCTGGCATAGTGAGGGCACAAGAAGTCTAGATGCCAAGCATCAAAATGTTATACTTGATTGAAGATTTGTTTGTTTCATAAAATACTGTATCCTTTATTTTTGTACCTGTCAAAATAAAAACCAAAATAAAAACCAGCAATATCAGAAATCTGAATCACAGACTAATTGAGTTGATACAAATCTAAAAGATTATTTATTCGAAGTCTTTGACTCATATGTAAATCAGTTTGGGAAGTGACTTGTCTAAAAGCACATAACTAATCGGTAAGGAAAAAAGAACCACAACATAGGTTTTTCTGGTTCTAATATCAATATTAAGTAAAAACAGTATTTTTTTATGTCTACATACTAATCATTTTTTAAAAACTTTCCATTAATTGAAGACTGCTTTGAATTCAACTCACTCCCTGGATAAAATTTTATAAAGACATCCATTTCCAGATAAAAAATGAAAAGCTAAATACTGATACACATGTGACAAGATCAGATGTCACTAGGAAAACTGTAGTGTTTGCTTTTACTCACTAATAGAACATTCAAAATCTGATTTGATTACAAAATCTACTTTACTGGCATTTATTCAAGTCAGATTGGAAGGGACTTTTTAGTAAACCAACAACAACGAAAACAAACAAAATCTATCTGAAAAATAACTAACAGCCACAGAAACTATTTGAATGTCCATAACTGCAGGAAGGAAAAAGAAAGGAAACAATAGAGAATATGCATTTCAAATTGTTTCTAATTTCCTAAAACCACAGCATTTTTTTTCCCTGGTTACCAAACACACATCTCACGTTTTTGGTCCATAAACACAGTATCACGGTACATAATGATAGATTACAGACCAACATTTTGATTTTGGGACAGGAAAATTACAAATGCTCCTTAATTTTTTCACAGTAGTTTGAAAAATCCTAACAAACAAGGGTAAGAAAGGGAATTATGATCGCCCCCCCCCCCACCCCCGCCAACACTTCAGTCACAAATGTAACCTGGACTGCTGCAAGAACAGAAACTAAAGATCCAGGGAACCCCCGCTCCTATATTACCCTCCCCCTCCGCTAAACACACACACCCAGCCACACACACACACACACACACACACACACTTCAGCAAGACCCTGTGGCTTAACAATGCTTTCTCCACCTCTCTCTCTCTACAACAATTCCAGAAGCCCCGAGGAGGCACCAGAGGCCTTCTCATTACTGGATAGAATCTCCGTACTGCAGCCTCCCAAAGAAATGAGAGAACAGCACAGAGGCATTCAAGTCATAGATAACTCTCTTCCCTGGCAGAGGGCCAGTGTGAAGGTGCTTGATAACCATTTACTGGAGCCAGACTGACTCCAAAGAACTGTTGCGAGAAGAAATACGAGGAGCTGAGGATCTAGGCCACCGCCCTCCACTCCCAATTTCCGTCCAACAGCGTCGAAGCCCCAGGTACAAAGCCTTTACGTCATCACCCCGCGCCACCCCCTTGACATACCCTCAGTCCGTTACCCTGCCCCCTTCCACCCGCCGCCTAGCTCTTTCCTTCGCCTGCCGCGTTCCAGCTGGCGCCATCTCTCACCCTCTCCGGTTCATCGTTCCCGCCCCCTTTCGACTTCCCCAATCCGCCCCTCCCCCCGGCAGACGCAAGATCTACTTGTGTCGCTGAGCTCGCGCTCCTCCTCCTCCTCCTCGCCATAGAGACAGCAACCAGCGGCGGTGGCGGTGGCGGTAGCGGCGGCAGCAGCGGGTGCCCCATAGACACCTCGCGCCCAGCAAGGGGGAAAGGGGAGCCGGGGCTGCGTCGCTCCGTGCTGCGCCGTCGCTTCTCGCACGTCCTGGCGGGGGCGCTAGGTGATGACGCGCCACGCAAAGGGGGCGGAGCACGCTGGTGACGGAAGCAGGGGTGGTGGAGCACAGAGCGGTCGGGCTGCCGGGCTGATTGGTTTGGGTGTCTGGACCGTGAAGGTAGCGCTGCTTGTCCCGGGCGGTTACTTTCCTCTAGCTGCCCACAGTCATAGTGGTTCGCCCAGGACGCAAGGACCCCTCAGCTGGCTTGCTTAGGAGAAGACGCGGCCGCCCGGTACTTGGGACTCGGGCGTCTCGGACTGCTCCTCCTGCCGCTGGGGAACCACCGGGTTGAGCAGCTGGGAGAAGCAGGCCAGAGCCGTCTAGGGCCTCGGGCCCGGAGACCCGTGGAGGATGAGCTGGCTCTTTCCCCTGACCAAGAGCGCTTCCTCCTCCGCAGCTGGGTCCCCCGGTGGCCTCACCAGCCTCCAGCAGCAGAAGCAGCGCCTCATAGAGTCCCTCCGGAATTCACACTCCAGGTGACTGGTCGCTGCCTCGCCGACCGGAGGAGAAAGTAGGGCGGGAGGGTGGGCTGGTCCTCGCCACACTCACAGCTCCTCAGGCCTACTGCCCGCCAGCTGCCTCCTTTTGACCTATTCCCCTTTGTCCTGAGTCACCCCCTTGCTCTCCTATCCCTGACCCATGTTCAGGATTTCCTTCTGGACCCTTTCTTGCTCTCTCTTGCCTCACTACGGCTCAGCCCTTCCAATTTCGACTTATCCCTCCTGACACATCACTGCTGGCTTTAATCTGTTTTATGTTCTGTAACTAGTATCCCTTTCTTTGCTTCCTCACTAGCTTTTCCCCTTGCCCATCTGATTGCCACGTTGGCAGAATTGTCAAAGTACTCTACTTGGCTAAAAAGAAGAGTAATCTCCAGGTTTCACAGAGTGTAAAAGTTTTTGGAGGGGAAAAAAAAAGTAACAAAAGGAAAGAGAAACCAAAGGTTTTATTAGTGAGTTCTTTTCGGCTGGGAATGACGAACTCGATCGTCCTAAGTCGTTAAGATTTACCCTCTTCCCACAGCCTCCCCCAATTTGACAAACTTCCAGTCTCCATTTGTCACTTTATTCTTGCTCCCACACTCAGGAATTGCCTTCTATTCATGTTAATTTGTTGTCTTACGAGTTTGTCATTTCAGCATGGTCAGGTTAGAAATATATTGCAATTCAAATTATTTCAGAGGTTTTTACTGTAAACTTCAGCCTTTTGCAAATGTTTGTGGCCTCTAATGGCTTACAAAATTTGGAACTGCCTCTTTATATGAATTATGCAAGTTTCGTTACTGAACAATGTCACAACATGTCTTTTAATGTAAAGATGCCAACATCAGTCAAACCCAAGTCTTCTTTAAATGGACTTTTCATGCATTTAAAAGATATATGAGGCCATAAAATTAATTCCTGTTGAATGAGCTCTTAAGGGCCATTTTTTTCTGTTACTCTAATAATTTTTCCCAAGCAAGGAAGTTACAGTGTAGAGTAGTTTTAAATTAAATATGTTGTTAAAAGAAAAATTCACAGCAAAATTAGTATGGCTAAATTAAGGGCTATTGCTGATTGAACTTCAGATGTTTCTCAGTTCTTTGTGTCAATTGTTCTGCTCGTTGAGAACTTTCAAAAGGTGAAAATATATGGTATTGAACAGAAGAGAGTGTCATGCCATTTGTTTGAGTGGTGGCTTTGTCACAGAGTTCTTAAAAATCAGTCTTAATTTTTTTTTCAAATCAGCCTTATTTTCGTGTTCTGTCTTAACCTGTAAGAGCTACTGTTACAAGATATGCTTATAAAATAAGTTGACTCATTTTGAAGGAACATAACTAAAGCTTGTCTTCTTAGTATCACATTGGAAGACTGTCTATATACTGAAGCAGTACTACTATTGCTAAAATAGTAGAACCACACCTTGGAATTAATTACTTTAAAGTCTTTAATAGATACCGTTGAATATTCTCACTGCTGGCAAATTTTTATTCTTTGAGGTTGGCGTTGACTTTTTTAAATACTCTAAAGCCTCTTGCTGCTAAGGGTAGTAAATAAGGGAAGTAACTGATCTGAACTTTCTTGTGGGTTTTTTTGGTTTCCCAATTAAGGTGACATTCTAAAATAAGATTTGCTAATCTAAGGAGTTCTGGAATTGGCTTAAGCTTTTAAGTTCTTTTATAAAAATACATGTAGTTGCGTTTTATTGAAATATTTCACATTTATAAACTATACTTGGATAATTCTGGGGATGATTAGGTCACGTATTTCCAGTTTTCAGAGAATAGTACAGTGCCAGAAAAAAGTGTCATCCATCTGTTCTTGTTAAATCTGCCATTTGAACTCAGGACATACATCTTAACGCTAGTTGGTGAAAATGATCTATCTATGCAGTATATGACAATATGTTGCTTCAGTAGCCAAATTCAATACTACAACTTATAAAGATTTTTGTTCAGTAAGACACTGTGATTGGTGAATCTGAAGGTGCCCTCTGCAAAAGTTGAAAGAGTATCTCAGATGATATTTTAATGAATAACACAAAAGCTTCCTAAATTACGAATATCAATATCTCGTTGCATGTGAGATTAGACCCACTTCCCTAATGTTTCGTACTCTATCCCTTCTTCAGATGTAAGGTCAGCAGCTCTTTCCTAGCAAGGAAAGTATCCAGCTTCTGCCCTCCTCAATAACCCCGTTCTTTCTTACACCTTCCAACTCTTACCTTCTTTTTTAACTCCTTACAATTAAAAAAATTCCATTTCAGGAAATAGTCTGTTCGATTCCCTTCCTTAAATGAATGTAAACTCCTTTTTTAGGTACTTTAGGAAATTTTTACCTCATCTTTCTCAGGCCTCTCCTAAAGTTTAGCTGCATTTTATGTGTATTTCCTCATGTTAATCTTACTGGTAAGTCAGGGCAAATGGGAAACTGTCATAGATGACAAACAAAAGTTTTAACCAAAGCATAATAACATATTTGTCTGGTATGAAAATAGAAACTGGAAGTTATGTAGGGTAGGCTCGAGTAATAGATTCCACCTTGTGAATAACAGTGATCACAGTATTCATTTTACCACTGACATTCCTATTTTTGTGGGCAGGAGTAGAATTAATTCTGTTGTTTCTTCTACTTCCTAAAGAAGCACACTCTGAAGGAAACTTTTGGTTTCCCACCCTAATCCACCCCCCTCTACTTATTGAAAGAACAACAGTTTTAATCTGCTTTCCCAGTCTGCAGGATCACATACTTAAGGGAGGCTGTGCTCTTTCAACTCCAGGAGGCAAATAATGATTGTTTAAGCCAATCATTTACCCTGCAAGTTATTGTGGAAGCAGGTCTCTTGACCTAATCTCGCTCCACGGGAGTTGGAGAAGTCGGCTGGGGAGCTGCTCAAAACATTTTCTGAGTAACAGAGATGTCTAAAAGGAAATTCTTCTCTTCATGGGACATCTGGAACTGCTTGGATCATGAAAGGCAGGCTAACTACTGAATGTGGTAGAGTAGAAAGATGGAATGTTCATGATAATACTGTGATGCTGAATTAACCAATTTTGGAACGTTTGATGACTCTGGACTTACTCTTCTTCAGGATTAATGACCCCTTACTGTTTAAGCCCCTTTCAACCTGGGTTTTCAGTTACAGGACTTGAAATTGAAACTATCCCAAGTGATACTCTCTAATCCCAATATTTAAAGATGCTTCAGGAGTGAAGCTGTTAATTATTTCCCTGCATTGTACTACAACCAGAACATACTGAAAACTGATGGTCTTAACAGTTAACTGTTCTAACTATCCTGGTTTCTCCTCTCTTAACAATATTTAAGTTAATTAGCTATTTTCTTTCTTTAGCTCTAAAACAATAATTTGGAAGGGTGTTGGAAATGGTAATTATGTAATTTCAAAGTTATACAAATAGTAATCTTTATTTCCTTTTAGTTAGGGATATCAGGTCTCTCAAGTAAAAGACTTTTGCATTCATTTAATAATAACATGGTAATTCTGGTGCTATTTTTATTTTATATTAAATAAGAAAATCTAATTGGGAGTTATTATGTTTGTCAGGATTGCTTTTTTTCTTTTTCCCTATATTATGATGAATAGTCTTAAAGAAAGAGGCTCTGAACCAGCAGTTAGGAGTCACTGATAGATCATTAACAGCATTGCAACACTGGATGCTCGTGTAACCTTAATAGGCCTTAGGGACCCCTGAAGTAAGAGGATTAACTGCCTGATCTCTTACTGCCCTGCCCAGCTGTGAAAGTCTGTGTTGGTTCCTCAGGTTCCTGGATATGAGCACTGTCTTAGAGATAAAAGACAAAATGAATTTGAGCAACATAAATGGAAGTACGCAAAAATCATTGACATTGGAAAAAGCAGCCTGACTTAGGTGAATGAAAGCTTTGTCATCAAACTGACCTGGATTCCAGTTTGGCTCTAACACACAATGGCAATGTGACCTTTTGGCCAGTTACTCAACTTCTCTGAGCCTCCAGTTCCCATCTGTAAAATCAGGAATTGTGATTCCTGCCATGAATGAAAGAGTGTTAATATTTCAGTGTTTTATATGAACATTTATTAGAGTACCTGGTACAATGTGAGCATATGGCGAATTACATTCCTGCTTTCTACCGCATAGAATCAGTATGCATGGAACCTTTGCTTCTTAGCCTGTATGCGTCTTGCCAGCTTATTGTTTGTGAATCCTTCACAAGTCCACCTATAACTCATTTGCCTCTGTCAGGAATACTTCTGACTTGCCATTCAGTAAGCAAGTCCGTTTTGGATAGTTTCCTCGCAAATGAAATGTACCTGTTTTGAAGGATTTTAGATAGATCACATGTAAGGAAACTAGTAGGTACTCTGTAAATGACAATGATTTTATTTTTGTTTCTTAAAAATAATGGTGCCAATCTACATAGTCTTTGTAAATTATTTTGAAATTTTCTTTGGCTGCCAATCCCTGGATACCATTATTCTGATTGCCCAAACCTTTAGCCTTATAACTTCCTTGGAGAGTCTCCTACTGTATAGTTTTCTACCCTATAACTGTTAAGTTTAACCCCTTGCTCACAGTTTATAAGACTTTCTCCTCTAACCTCATAGGTTTCTGAGTAAACCTAAATTCCATAATTTTTTTCTATAGATTTAAGTGTTGGCTCAGAAGGACTCCTACATGAACTTGGTAACACAACAAATCTATAATGAAAGGGTATGTGTATGTGTTTTTAATCTGTTTCAATATTACATATTTTTTAAAATATGGGTCCATTGCTGGCATGTATAATTTGAGATATTTTTATTCAAATACCCAAATTTTCAACTTTCAAAAAAAAAAATAAGACTGTATTTATACAGCACTTTTAGACTCACGACAAAATTGAGTAGCAGATTTAGAGATTTGCTATATAGCCCCTTCCCCCTCCAACTTTTCTTTTAAAATAAAGAGATCTGGAAGATCTGACAATAGTTCTTCCATATAGCAACATTTGCTTTG